TGCTGATTTTACTTAGCAATCCTTCATTAGAACAGTAAGAGTTGTCTATGGACAGATATCTATTTCTGAAGAGTGGAAAGGAATTTTAGGATAACTTAATAATAACTTAATGTCTGGGGCTTTTCAGGAATGAGCTTTCTGTCAGTTGGCAATCGTAAATCAGCTGCTTGCATGAGTTGTTCTCATTAATATCAGGCTGTCGATGAGCAGGGTTTGTGTGTGATATGTGAGCATTTGAACAGTGAGTGGAGTGAACATCAGGCTCCTCCTTCTCCATGTTCATACAGCAGCTGTATGTATGGACTTGAATTTTTCTAGCTCACAGTAACACAGTTCATTGTACTCAGTTCCCATTTTTCTTACAGACTGACCTAATCTCTTTAACAAGATACCTGGTGGCAGGGAGCAAGGAGAGAAAAGAGAGAAGACATTCTTCAAAGATAAAATGTTTCTGAGATATTTCCTAAGGATCATGTTCTCAGCAGAGGTGTGTCCCTTCGTCCTTGAGTAGCATTTAACAAAAGTTGAGGGTATGAGACTTTGAAACCACTGTGACCTTAGTATCTGTGCTATTGTCTGAAAAACAAAACAGAACTTTGTCTCTGCAACTTGGTTTCTTTGCTTTTCATTACCTACATACCTGTCAACAGGATGGCTTGTAGGAACATCCTGTGACAGTCAAGGACAAAGCAGGTGCCTGCTTACTGTTCACCTTCTCACTTCACATCCAGCAGTGCCCTAAACGCAGACTTCTCTCAGACTGTGGCTCTCAGCGTTCTTCTCAAATGCCCTTTCTGAGTGTGAGCCGCTGCTGTACTCACAATTAGGTGTATTGTTCACACAGTCACCTTTTGAGCTCTGAATATTTGTGTGACTTCTAGCTTTTCCTACCCAAGTCTCAGGTTGAAGTTGTATTTAAAGAGATGTGAAACTGAAAGGCACCTAGAGCCCTTGAAAATCAGTCTTGGCCTTGAACAGAACAGCATGTAGGCTGTAATTTAGCAGTTCTTATAATCTGTCACCCCACATCTGCCCTCAAAGCAGAGTCTCTGTGTCATAGGTTTGCAATTTTTTTTTTCCAGACCCATCCCAAGTGTCTTCCTTAAAACTTTCTCCTGTCCTTTTTTCATCTGAACTTCTCTCCACAAATCAGATTTATTTTGCCTTATTATATTTTTCTACTTCCCTCCCTTTTTTGTCTAGAATGATGATAACAGAAAAACTAAGCTGACAAGGCCAAATTCTCCCATAAGGGTGAAAAAGGAAAGAAGCAAACTGTTTTGGCAGACCCGGAGTTGAGTAGGACAACAGGGTTGCTGGAACACTATGTGTAGCTAACCTATCCCTCCAGCATTTTCAGGGAGCAGTAGTTATCACCTGCTGCATGCCTCACAGGCTGATTCTGACTATACCTATCTCTGGCTTTATCTTGTATTTAAATTTCATAGTGGCTAGTATTGACTACCTTCTGTATTTAAGTGCTTTACTCTGTTAATCCACTGAGATTTCTCAATCTTTGTGAAGGATTTTTAAGCTTCTCCTTCCATAGATGAGGAAGTGGAGACCTAGAGAGGTTAAATAACTCATTCTGACTTACCCAGCTTATAACTGGCTTGGTGGGTATTGAAGCCTATGGTTCCTGAGCCTACTGCCATCTGTGGTGATGAGCCAGGTTAGTGTGTGCCATTAACGTTGGGTTCTGGCATCTCTTAGGTTCTTTGACTCACTACATTCCCTGGGATTATGTCCTCTGTGAAGTGGGGTAATTACATGCTCTCAGTAGAGATGTACCGAGAATTAGGGCTATAATCAGGACGTGGAAAATACCTAACTAACAGAATTAGGCAGTTTTAGCAGCTATCTTAAATCAGTATTGTCAATCACTGAACAAATTTGGGGAGCTCTTTTCAGGTCTGTGTATCAATGGCTCTAGAGATTTTCTAGTTCTCTGGTCTTTGTCTTGTCCATCATCGGTTATCTTCAGTACTCTGGTATTCATCAAGCTTTCTAAAGGCCTGATGGCATCTCTACATTTCTTGTCATGTAAAATCTGTAGTTTGGAGACGGGCATGTATTGCTTAAATGTGTGATTCTGATTTCCCATGTTTAGTGGGTTATGTGGCTGAAGACAGATCTCTGGCTAAGAGAGAAATGGAATGATTGTTTACACCTAAACCAGTATAGGAAAAAAAAAATCCCAATCATAAATTAGTGCTTATTTGTGAAATTTTATCGAGATGGTCCCATAGTAAAAGAAATGAGGAGAGTATACAATTAATTTGTTAACATTTGTTGAAAATGTTTATTTCCAAGTTCCACAGAAGGCATTTTAGGGTAGTCAGTGCTGCATTGATACTACACTAACACAGTCATGATTTAGTTTAATACTCCTTCTGCTTGCTTTGTGAAACTTAGAAAATCATAGGCTTCTCTCCATACGCTGGCCGGTACCACAGGAGCAAGGAGTGCCAGTAGAGCTTAGCTGCTTGTGTGTTGGCCTTACTACAGTGAAGTTTCCAGGTTTTGTTGTTGTTGCCTGACTCGAAGATGGATAAGGCTAATTAAAAGTTAACAAAAGGTACATTTGGTAAGGTTGCAGACTGCTGTGCTATCAGCAGGGAATTGAGTGAAGGTCAAAACCCAGGGTGGAAGTGGGCCTCTGTCTAGAGAAAGGAAGAAAATGAGAGATCCAGGGTACAATCCATTAGCTAACAGTACTTGTGTGAGCGAGAACTAGGTGATTTATGGCAGTGATCGACAAAGAAAGATGGGGGATGAATTGAGGGTCTAGCTTAGTGCCCAGCCTGCATGAATCCCTGGGGTCAGTCTCTGTCACTACTGAAAATCAGTTGTTCCTTGAGAAGTACAGGTATTGCTGTCACTAATTGCAGACAGATGTCCTGAACTGTGGAATGTGGCAGACAGTGCCTGAAGTGCAAGGGCCCCTGGGCTGGAAGTGTCAGGTTTCTTCAGTGCAAACCTGTCCCTTACAGGCAGTTCTACAGGGGTCTGTGGTGCAGTTTCGATGTTCTGTCTAATCTAGGGATTGATTGTGATATCTGGAGACACAAAGCTTGAAGTTCTGTAACTAAGAATATAGGCACTTTACTCACCACCCCCAGCTCCATACCATTTTTCTTGTCCACGGAAGATCATCTGTTTTTCAGACTGTAGAGTCCTAAAGGTTCTGTATTATCAGCTGCCTCAGAAATATACAACTGGGCAATTGACTGACATGACTTAATAAGATATATATATATTTAAATTATGAACTGTGTGGCCATTAGCTCAGGCTTATTACTGACTAGCTCTTACACTTAATCCATAATTCTTATCTATGTTTAGCCACGTGGCTTGGTACCTGTTCTCAGCTCTGCCTTGTCATCTTGCTTCCTCTGTGTCTGGCTGGTGACTCCTGGCTCAGCCTTCCTCTTCCCAGCATTCTCCTTGTCTGCTTGCCCTGCCTATACTTCCTGCCTGGCTACTGGCCAAACAGCATTTTATTAAACCAGTGTACAAGGGCATTTCTCCGTTTTTGTCTAAACAAAAAGGAAGGTTTTAACTTTAACGTAGTAAAATTACATATAATAGAACAGTTATTAAGCAGGAATTACAATTATAATATCCAGTCCATTTGTAGTTGGCAAAATTAAAGAAAATATTTGATCTATCCAATATTTGTGAGTCTAAAGTTTTATATCCAATTTATCTTTAATAAGTTATTATCAGAAAACCAATTTAAAGATTTGGTATATCTTTCCTAAATGACTTCAAGTAGTTGATATCAATTATTGAATGATGTTTTATTGTCACTGTTATCTGATTACATTTTCATATAAACTAAAATAATTTAGCAATGACAGCATTCTAGAGCATAATTTTATATCTATTGTCTGTACAATTACAAAGCATATCTATGCCTTTCATGTCATTGTAGGACAAGTACTGTTAGCTGTGTCCAGAGTAGAGTGCAAAAGCTTTAGGAGAAGTCACATGACATCACTGAGCGTCTGCCTCGCTCAAGATGTGCTAAACCAAATACATAGTTGAAATAAAAATCTGCTATCCTGCTTTCTCTTGGAGGAGGCAGTCTCTACAGACAGAGAGATTGCTGGGAAATTGAAGGGGCAGCTTCAGTCTTTTCTATTCTGTAGATGAAAAGGAGAGGAAGCTTGGTGCTTTTATATGTGGACTTTCAAATGACGGTGTGAGCTGGCACTTTAGAGGCGGAAGCAAGAGGATCAGAAGGTCAAGACCATTCTTGCTTACCTACTCTGTTCATGATCAGCTTCATAAGCCCTCACTAAATAAAAGACACTAAAATAAATTAATTTAAATAATAGTATAAAAAACAATCCTCAGAGATTGGAACCACACATACTTCTTATATACAATAGCCCCATATCAGTCGCAAACAAAATCTTGAATATGTGATAAGCTGTGTCCAGAGTAGAGTGCAAGCCTGTATCCATATGTGTGTGTGTGTCTTGTCCTAGCATGGATAAGTGTATGATGGGGAAATCTACAGAGACAACCAAGCCAAACTAGTGAGAACTCATGAGCTTTAGACTAGCAGCTGTGGGGTCTCCATGGGACTGGACCAGGCCCTCTGCATAAGCGAGACGGTTGTGTAGCTTGATCTGCTTAAGGGCCCCCCTGGCAGTAGGATTAAGATCCATCCCTGGTACATGAGCAGGCTTTTTGGAGCCCACTACCTATGGTGGGACACCTTTCACAGGCTTGATGCAAGGGAAGGGGCTTGGACCTGCCTCAACTGAATCTACTAGGCTCTGTGGACTCTCCATGGGAGACTTTGCCTTGTTGGAGGAGGGACTAGAGGGTGGATTGAGGGGGTGAAAGTGAGAGGGGCGGGGGGAGGGAGGAGAGGGGAATCTGTGATTGGTATGTAAAATGAATAAGAAAATTCTTTAATAAAGAAAGGTGTAGTTACAAGTGAAATTGCACAGATATCTCATGTGTACTTTGGTTCCTCACTGCAGGCATTGCTTCCATGACCGTGCCCGTGTACATCGCAGAGGTTTCTCCACCCAACCTAAGAGGTCGACTGGTCACCATTAATACCCTCTTCATCACAGGGGGCCAGTTTTTTGCAAGTGTCATTGATGGAGCCTTCAGTTACCTGCAGAAGGATGGATGGAGGTTTGTGAATAGTTCTTACCTTGAATTCAAAGAAACTACAACTTTGAGGCACTGGAAAAATCGAGATACCTTGAATCATTGCAGTTAACTTGTAAGTAGGTGGCATTCAGCAAAATTGAAAGCAGTCAAGAAATACATATTTATTTTAATGATAGACAAGGAACCTTCCATTAAGAATTGATATTTTCAGAAGACTGGTTTTTCTAAAGTGTTTAGGTGATACTTCTCATACTCTGTATAATCTTTTACACATATAATAATGTGATAAATATATGTGGAGGTTTTGAGTTACATATGTGACTGACAGGCTGTTTATAAACTGCAGATATAGCTTTTTTTTTGGGTCTAGGAAGCTACATTCTCCTCTGAAAGAAACAATATTTAAAAATGCAGATTTAATCATATGAAAAGGTATCTATATAAAAATAAAATACAAAATTATTCCTTGATCATAATTTGAAATAAATGAGAAAGATAATACAAAGATAAACATTAAAAGTAAATACGTGAAGCATATTTACAAAGACAAATTTGTGTTGAAGCTTAAAGATGAGGGCACAGGATTTTTCCTCATTGCTTTATAGTGTTTGAAACAAATTTGTGTAAGTATTCTAGGAAATTGTTACTAAAAGGCACTCCAGGCTATTGTTGAACTTGTTTAGTGCCATTGCTTCTGACAATAAGGGCTCTTTTAGCATGGACCGTGTAAGTTCTGTCAGAACGCTGACTGAGACTCGGGTCCTTGCTTCTGACATTGAAGCAGCTCAAAGAGGTGGTTCCAGTGTGCTAGAGACAGGGGGACCTGGACTGCTCTCCAAGCCGTACCATAAGTCCCGTGGCTTAGGATAAGCTGTGAAAAAGCTTTAGGAGAAGTCACATGACATCACTGAGCGTCTGCCTTGCTCAAGATGTGCTAAACCAAATACACAGTTGAAATAAAAATCTGCTATCCTGCTTTCTCCTGGAGGAGGCAGTCTCTACAGACAGAGAGATTGCTGGGAAATTGAAGGGGCAGCTTCAGTCTTTTCTATTCTGTAGATGAAAAGGAGAGGAAGCTTGGTGCTACCACTGTTTTAATCTGGTGTTTCTAGTTTTTAGTTGAGACTTACAAGTCAGTGCTTACATGTACATATACATCGCCAAGTCATCTATTGCATTTTGGTAAACTTCTGTTGTGACCAATCATAGATATAGATTGAAATATATAATATCTATAGTATTTAGGCTCCATTCCTACTGAAAGGCTAAGCACTCAACATTGTCTTTAGTAGTGGTTAAGACAGCAAGAAGGCCATAAAGTCAAATGTTTAGGAGTGTGGTGCACTTCTGGAAAGGTGGCATCGCTGGGGCAAGCCTCAGTCCCCTTAAAAGTGGGCGATAAAATCCCAGCCCCAAATCCAAATCTGTCTTCTACTGCTCTTTTATTACCTGCAGATGTGGGACAAATCATGTGATCCCTCTGAGCTTAATTTCTTCCCAAAAAATGTGAGAGAAAACAAAAAAACAAAAAACAAACCCAAAAACTTGGCCGGGTGGTACTGGCACACATCTTTAATCCCAGCACTTGGGAAGCAGAGCCAGGCGGATATCTGTGAGTTCGAGGCCAGCCTGGTCTACAGAGTGAGATCCAAGACAGGCACCAAAACTACACAGAGAAACCCTGTCTCAAAAAACTGAAAAACAAAACAAAACTTAATTTTGTGAGATCATTGTAGAAAGAAAAATATTTTATGCATAACATATTCCTAACATCTGACCCAGTACTTGGTAAAAAGTAGGCCCTTCATAAATGAGCTTCATAGTTATCTACTGTTCTGATGCATGAGTACCGCTGTCGGTATGTTGTAAGCAAAGCTAAAGGGAAAGGAACACTGTGATCTGTATTTGCTTGCTGCTGAGGGTGGAGCATAGGGTGGTAGAGAACCCTGGAGAGGGAAGACTACTGTAACTGCTATCAGTACACAATCCTAGCCCCAAATCCAAATCAGTCCTCTACTGTGCATTCGTTACCTACAGACCTGGGAAAAAATTGTGGGGTCCTTCTGAGCTTAATTTCTCCCCAAAAATGTGGGAAGAAATTGACCATACCCTGTGCTGTGGGTACATAAGGTAGCAAATAGTGGAGAGAGCAGCTGAATTCCTAGGACTATCAGCTGGATGTGGAGACATCTCTTTTAAACAGAAAAATTATAGGTTAACTATAATTGTATTTTTCGTTACTTTTTATTTTTGAGATTATAATATATTCACATCATTTCTCCCTTCTCTTCCCTCCCTCTAAACCCTCCCATATACTCCTCCTTGCTCTCTTTCAAATTCATGGCCTCATTTTTTCATAAATTGTTACACATGTGTGTATGTGTCCATTACTAAATATATAAATACAACCTGCTTAGTCTATATAATGTTACTTGCATATATATTTTCATAGCTGACCATTTAATATTAAATAACTAATGGGTGTGCTCTTCCCTGGGGAAGACTATTTTTCCCACTCTCGGCATTCCTGAGTTGCCTGTAATTATTTAGGGTTGCAGCCTCATGAGCTTTTTCCCATCCTCTTTTATTTATTGCTGTCATCCTTCTGCAGTCAGATTTAGGAGTCTGTGTTGGTGAGACTTCGTAGTTTCTGACTTTCATAGGAGACACAATCTCACAGAAAACTGTTTGTTTGACTTTTATGATTTTTCTACTCCTCTTCAGCAATGATCCCTGAGCCTTATATGAAGGAATTGGGTCATTGGGTCGTAGATTTATCAGTTGGGACAGGGTTTCACAAGTCTGCCTTTTGATTGGTTGCGGTTTTTCTGTAATGTTTTTTATCTTTTGCAAGGAGAACTTTCCTTGATGACGGATGGGGATGACACTTTCCTGTAGCTATAAGGACAGTTGTTTAGAATGTAGTTGGGAACAAGGCTGGGTTAGTAAAGTAACAGTTGCAGCTTCTCCTCCAAGATCCGTGACATCACTAGCCCTGGATCATTGCCTAGGTTTCCAGTATCAGGCATGCTTTCCTTCTTGTTGAATGGATCTTATTTCCAATTAGAGAGCTGTTGTTTACTGACAAGGTATGCGTGCTGCTACTGCATTCTGGGAGTTACTGTGCCCTGCTGGTCATTGTAGTTTATAGATCTCATAACTGAATAGGACTGTTGGCTGCTTCCTTCCTTTGGTAGCTTGCATGATTCCTTCTGGCACCATGAGAGCTAGTCCTCAGGGAGGAGGCTTTCAGGTCAGATCCAGCTTGGGTCCTCTGGGCCCTGTGTCTGAAGTTCATGGTGTGTTCAGCAATAGGGACATAAGGGCAATAGCAATAGCTTATAATGTTTTGGGAATCCCTTGGATGATCCTGACCAGTGTTTCAACATTTATGCCTAATGTTGGGGTATTTGTTAGCTAGTCTTTGGCTCTTGGAGGGAGCATTGTCTTCGGAGATGGGAAAATGTCATTTATACTATATAAACCCCTGTCAGTCAGAGCCAGTCACATCCGGTCAAGGAAAAGTGGTAGGAGTGAGGGAGGGGCTTCAGCCATCTGGGAATTTAGTAGCGGCAGTAGAAGGTTAGTCTGCCATGGGGATGGATAGAACTTTAAATCCATCGTGGCATAGCTTTTTTTTTTCTAAATTAAATAGTTATCCATTGCTTTAAGAACATAGTAAGTTTGATTTTGTTTGCTTGCAAGTCTCAGATAATTTTTAACATATTTTTATAATTCTACTTTATGTGTATGAGTGTTTGCCTGCATGTATGTTCATGTACTGCATGCATGCATGGGACTCACAGAGGCCAGAATGTAATACTGGATTCACTGGAACTGGAGTTACAGATGGTTGTAAACTGCAATCCAGGTGCTAAGAACTGAACCTGGGTCCTCTGGAAGAGCAGCCAGTGCTCTTAATCTCAGAGCCATCTCTCTCTAGCCCCTTAGAGAGTTTTTTAAAGAAACTGATTGTACTGGTGAAGTGGTGAGCTCCCCTCTCTTCCAGAATCACTTATACTTTTAAAAGTTTTAAAAACCTCATCAATGAGATGTTATTTGAATGTTAATAAGAACGTTATTTGTATATCATTTGAAGGGTAATGCTTTCTGAAAACAAATTCATGTTTTTTATAATTTGATAATTAGTAAGGAAAGAATAGAGTATGAGTTGATCTCTATCTTAAAATAATTCCGTTACCATTTTGACAAAAATGAATTTGGAACACACAAATTAATTATGGGTTAATAGCTTGATTAAAATTACAAATCTGCACTCGGGAGGCAGAGGCAGGCGGATCTCTGTGAGTTCGAGGCCAGCCTGGTCTCCAAAGCGAGTTCCAGGAAAGGCGCAAAGCTACACAGAGAAACCCTGTCTCGAAAAACCAAAAAAAAAAAAAAAAAAAAAAAAAATTACAAATCTGAATGCTGAAGATGTCTGTAATGTGCTATTGATAGAATTAAGACATAAGACATAAATAAAGATATTCTAGTGTAACAAGGAGTGTAGTTGAAAGGTTACTTTCATGGTGTGAGTTGGTTGATCTAAGGTCTTATATCCTCATGTAGCTGATAACTTCAGCAATGGTGTTATTGTATGGATTAAGTGACTGAATAGCTATGAATATTCTTAAGAACTCCTAAATGATACTAGGTATTGCTTGCTGTTATTTTCAGAAAGCATTAACTTCAGCCTCTATATCCATCTAATCCTGCTAATAAAAATCACTCCCACCTTCAGTTCTCTGAGTTCCCCCAAGTTAAAAGTAAATGAATGTTGGCAATGGCAAGAGAGGTTTGTAGAAGACAAATCTCCCTGAAGAAGACCATTCTACACCATGGACAGAGTGTACAAATCTGTTGATGGCCAGAGCATAGAAGATCTTGAATGACAATTACTGTACAATGTCAACATGGTAGATATGCTTCTGTATATTTGTCCAAACTTATGGACTACACTCCTTCGAGAGTGAACTATGCATAATGTTGATAGTCCATACAGTTGGTACACTGATTATATG